CTCCCCCTTGCCCCCCCCCCCCCCCGGTTTTTTTTCCCCCCTGGGACCCCCCCCCCCCCCCCCCCCCATCCCTTGCCCCCCATTCTTTCCCCCCCCCCCCCCCCCCCCGCGCGATGGACTTTTTCGTTATCTTCTTCTCCGGTCTCTACCTCCTCTCGCTCTTGACGCTCACCTGCCTCGTCTTCCTGTGGATCCTGGGAGCGACGAAGACGCGCAACGAGGCCCGCTCCCTTCCGCCGGCGCCGGCGCCCGCACCCGCGCACTGGGAGCCGCCCGCGGCCCCGACCTTCTTCTCCGCCTACGACGCCCACTTCCCGCAGCCCCCGCTCATCGAGCTCTTCCCGTCTCCCCCGCCCACCCCGCCCGCACCCGTCGCCCCGCCCGCGAACCCCGCCCCGCCCCGCCGCACCCGCATCCGCTTCACTCCCCGTCAGCTCGACTCTCCGATGCTGCCCCACGTCCGCCCACTGCCTATCATCGCTCGGTTCCCTGCACAGTCCACAGATCCAGATATGGCATGCCCGCGCCATTTTGCCCCGCCGCGCGCCAAGAAGACTTCCACGTCCGTCTCCGACATGATTCACTCGCTCCAGTTGCAGACCAGAGACGCCTGGCGACGTCACAGAGAGAAGGAGAGGCGCTTTACCGAGCTGGCGCAGAAGCCACTCGATGTGCCCCAGGATGTCGCACAAGTTGGGAAAGGACACCGCCGAGGGTACGAGGAGTGGCCATTACCTGTGCCGGTAGTAGGCATAGAGGACGCGCTATCACCTCCGCTTAATGTCTGCCCCGCCCTATACACCTAGTGCCATGCGGGGTGCCATGCGGAGATCACTGCGGGTTGAGCCCATTTTGTGCCAACCAACACGTCCGTGACGGGCTCATGTTTCGCATGCCTGCTTTCTTCACAGATCGCAACGCGCGTCTTGGTCGACACTAGGGGTAACAGCTTCCATTTGTGCTCCTACTACTTCGGCTCCATCCCGTCAAACCTATCGCGCCTTTTTGGAAGCAACCGTTCGTGGGTCTTCTTTAGTCACGGCAGAAGCATGTGAGCATTGCACGCTTGCATGTTCATAGTACGACGAATCACCACCTTTGTAGAGCGTGGTTTTGTCCTTTTAACCTCATAGCGTTGTACATACCTAGTAAAATCAACTAGACAGAGGAATCGGCTTAAGGACTGTCCTCATCGATGTCCAGCTGCATTTCCGCAATCTCATTGATCGCGTTGAATGAAAGTTTCGCACATCCCCTCTCTGGAAATGTTAACTGACTCGCTTGCTAGTTTACGTAACGTGACCCTTTTTCCATCCATCCCCACACTTGTTCGCTGCATTACTTGTACACTTGTCGAAACACCCAGCGCTGGATCGATAGACCGACTTTTCCTTCTTATGACCTTAAAGAAAGAAGCTTAATCAGGTTGGCGTTCACGCAAGCAAAATCTCCGCTCCCAATTTTCTCATTCTCTCACGGTAACGGCTGGTTGCCCGACGGCATTCTTCGCTTTGTTGAACCACTCAGCAAGGTCTTCGTTCTTTCCCTTAACCTCCGTGAAAGTATCAAAGGTTTCAATGCTCTTGAGCACACCGTACATGCTCAAATCTGCGACGCCAGGACTTTCCCTCCCATCCAAAAGCTTGCCACCCCCCTTCTTAATCGCCTTCGTCCACTCCTGAAAAGCTCCCAAAATAGCCTCCCGTTCGTCATCAATACCATACTTGTTCTTCAATTTCCTCGCGACAAAGTACATCGCGATTGCCGCAGAATATCGGATTGTCCCCCGCTGCCCAGACGAGAACTTGGCCTTGTCCGCGATGTAGTCAAATGTCTGCAAGCTCTCATTCATCGTCCGGTATGTGTTCGGGGCGACTAAATGGATGAGCTTATCATTCAGCCACGCGAGCCACTGTCGCTCCACCTCGCTGGGCTTCGCGTGGCCGCCGTGCTCCATGAGTGTAGCGACGCGCTCGATAACGGCGCTCGAGCCTTTCACTTGCTCGCCGTTAACGATTGGCGATGGGGGACCCTCCTGTTAGACTTGTCAAACTTTGCCAGCTCCGTCTTGCGCAGCGGATCGACTTCAACGACGCGATACGAAAGATCATGGAAGTCCAAGTAGGCGCGGACTTTTTTGCAAAACGGGCAGACCCCATACTGGTACAAAACAATCTCCGGAGTGCTTTTGACGTCAGACGCAGCGGGCGCAGAAGCGGCTGTAGAATATTCGGCGAGCGCCGAGACGCGACGTGCCTGTGAGGCGAGGGCAAAGGTTGTTGCAGCCGATGAGGCACAGATCAGCAATGCGGCGGGCCTTGACAGTCGGGAGGCGGACTCCTGGGATATGGAGTGAATCGAAGCTTCTGTTGTTGCTTTATAGGGGGACATCACTTTTAGAGAGGAATTACTGTTCCAAAGCACACTGCAGGCGACCATGCATATATATGATAATCGTGAATTCTGTTGGAGTGCGCTATGCATGATAGATAATTGCGTTGCCGAGTAATTGCTCGTGTACGCTTCGAAGGGTAGTATGCTTTCGATGTTACGACTGTAGGCCCGCACTCGCAAAACAGTGGATAGCGTTCGTGTTCTTTAGCTCAAAAGCTCACACAAGCCGAAAGAGACAAGCAAAAACATATGCAGACGTCTGTAACCAAAACACAAAGAGTTCAACCCCACCGGATGTCATGGGACATCTATGGCAAACCTGGTCAAAGCACAGCGCGAGCGATTCACCTCCAGGCCGAGCTCACAGCAGCCCGATCAGGACCAGGATATGCGCCTCTTGCTGAGCAAATCCGTCTATCTACAGTCCTTACTTCACCAGTGCTGCAGGACACCTCCCTCTCTATTAAAAGACGTGGAATGGAAGCACATGCCTTCCGTAGACCCAGCCGAACAGTGACCATCTTGCGGCAATCCTGGTGCAGCACGGCACAGAGGATTGAACAAAGGGTGAGATTTTGTGCGGCGGTCAGAAACAGCGAACAGAACGGCCTTATTTCATGCCACGTCACGAGAGAAGCTTCTGATGATTTTAGTCTGTTTCGTCCATTTCCATTGTCTCTGCTCTTCTCACGTGTGCTGTCGCACGTGTTCTGTACAATTCTGCTCCATTTTACTGTTTTGTAATCCTCTCAACAGAGGAGAGCATGCGAGGCCACTCTGCGCTGGAAACTCTTTCAACCTATCTTTCGTGGGGAATGCGCGCCGGTTTGGTTGTCCTGACCACAAGGCTGCGGTCTAACTATTGTGAGCGATGGCAGTGGTCCTGCGAACCTAATCGTCATGAAGCCATTGGGCAAGCCAGTCCTCACAAGGAAAGCCGCCCATTCGGACGTCATTGGCCAAACGGCTGAATGCAAACGTCAAGGCCAGTCTTCAAATACACCTGAAAGAAAGCTAAAAACTGCAAACACTGAGGTGGAAGCTTCGCTCTGGCCGTAGCATTCCTCCGGCCAGTCTGCTTCGTTCAGCACTATTGAAAGCGCCCAAACGCAGTGAGAAAGGCCACGTTCAACCACTGCATGGTCTCAAATATTGCGCAGCACAACTTCTCCCGCGAAGAGTGCGCCAAAAGAGCCAAAACGCTTCACTCGTTCAGCCAACCGAAGTGACTTCCCTCGCTTGGCGCTGAGCACTTGCTGTCTCCGAGGACTCCAGTGTTTTATCGGACCAGAAGACAGCGCAATAGTTTTCATAAAAAATATCACCGCGCGCGCCACGACGCGGCGCAGTTCGCCTCGATTACAAATAAAAACAGAGAGTTTGGCGTTGCGCTAGTTTTTCCGGAGGCTTGCAATTAACATCTAAACGCCCTTGCCAGTACATTGCCACTCAATATTTCACTCGAGACGAAGGAAGGTCGTTAAGGTAGGCCAAAATGCCTTTCAAAGACTTCATTGTACTTGATTCCGTTTCTGAAGATAATGCTGGGCATTTGGTACGTCGAGTATGTGCTGCTGGTTCCTCTGGGACAGACTGCGCTTCTCTCATATTCAACAGAGACGGTAGCGGTGGATCGATTTCACTACTCCCGAGCAATACTGTTTGGTCCATCTGGTCTATGAAGGGTCCAAGTTCTTGGGGCCTTGCCTTGATGTCTGGGGACACTGTCGCAACAGCAACGAAAATTCGAAAAAAGACGTTTGTTTTTCGGGAGAAGGAACTGGATGTGGTGATGCTTCCTGGCGATCGGCCGGAATCCTTCATCTGTTCCATATACAGTGAACCTTCCGCCGGAGAAAGTACGTTGAACGCAGAAGGTCTCAGCCGAAATACCGATATCTTGTACGCCAGGATTTGCATCGAGTCAAAGAGCGCAGTAGCACATCGGCTGAGCTATGATCCTGCCCAAGGATGTAGAATTGCTCTTTTCTGTCTGTGGGTGGCCGATTTTCAGAGGACATCTAGTAAAGGGCATGTGCACTGCGGAACATGTTTACCCGGGTCGATTCATAGGCTTTGAGATGATCAGCCGTTTTGTGCACACCCTGCATTGGTTTCTCTCCCCCAAGTGTTCTGTAAATCCAGATGATTCTCAGCAGATCGCAGTGAGTTTCCGTGTATGATAATTAATCATCACTGGCACGAAGTAAAGAAACGATGTACTACAGTAAAATGTATCAATGCATTCACTACCCGCTCTGAATTCCAACTTTAATGATGCTTTTTCACCGCGACGGACACAAAGCTTTTCCCTTGCCGGTTGCATTGAGAGACAGTACCATTTTCTAGTTCATAATTTGCTGCACTGCCTGCCTAGATTATAGAAGAAAATGAAAGAAAGGTTACCGCCCTTATTCCATCGATAATGCATCTCCAAAAAGGACATAAGAAACCGAACGGTAAGATTACTCTAAACCATCTGCATCGTAGCTGAAACTTAGAACAATACGATACATGCTAGACTACAATAAACTATCCTTTCATTCTACGACTAGTCTCCATACAATCGCTTCTGTCCTTTCTTTCAACCTCCCCGACCACCCTCTATAATACTACTGGATACTGTACTCCTCCTTTGACAAGTCTTTCAGGTATGGCTTAGAAGTTATAGTGCGGTTCTATGCCATTCTTTTAAAGAACCTAGGAGTCAGTCCCTTTTAGAATGACATGCACAGCATGCTTATTTAAAGTATAAAACAAGAGACATCCATACTGTGTGTGTCCTTTATACCTCATAAAACAAAAGACATTCATACTGTTTGTGTCCTTTATACCTTACAACTACTCCCCTTTTAGGATGTTTATTCGTCCTCGAATAAGCTTGACGGCGGATAGTATGTGATGGAGTTGACGTAACGTTAGTTAGAAGGCTCTTGACTTGGAATGTCTTGTTCATTAATCCATTTGTCTTGAATTATGTGTCTTGAGTTTTCTGATACTAAAATTTCGAGAGAGTCTTGAGTGTTGCAGTGGGATATGATGTCAATTTTAGGCGCCGACTTGTCTTTGGTCTGAAACGTAGAGTCGAATTCGATGGTTCTTATGTATTGATCGTCGTAGTATGGTTTGTGAAGATATATGTGGAATGTAGCATGAAGATTATGATATTTTTCTGCCAGTTGCAACTTTTATGCGTTTCCGACCGCTAGAATGGCGATGACTTCGAATGTTCCAATGTAGTTCGGTGATAGGCTTTTGTTTCTTCCTGTCTTGAGCGGTAAGTTCTTCGCGGAGAGCATTAATTGGTGTTCTTGGTTAAATTAATGGTCTCTTCTATGTTTTTTGACTTGTTCGTCGTTTTGTTCGTTCGAAGCTGTGATGGACAGCTTTTCCATATCATTGGGTCTTCTTAAGTTCTCCAAAAACCTTTGCGTGCTCACATTAGGAGTTTCTGCTACGTCAGAGTGTAGGAGTCAGAAACAGAGAGTGGGTGATGACCATTCTCTAGGAAAAAAGAGTTTGTTTAGTTGTGTCACTTATGTGATTATTGTACGCGAACTCGAGTCCTGGTAGGTGTTTACTCCAGTCTCTTCTAGTATAGCTTACAAGGCATCGTTGCATTTCTTCCAATGTTCTGAATGCTCTTTCTGATTGTCCATCTGTTTGAGGATGGAAGGCGGTTGATATGTTTAACTTGACTCGTAGTAGCTTCATGATTGCATTCCATAAAGCACTTGTGAATCTTGTGTCACGATCCGATATTATCTTTCTTGGAAGACCGTGATGTTTGTATATTTCGTAGTAGAAAACCTCTGCTGCACCCTTGGCAGTATGGTTTGATTCAATTAGAATAAATGAGTGTGTTTCGAGAGTTTGTCCAAAACAACAATTATAGCAGTTTTGTTCGTATTCGTCCTCGGCAGATCTAAAATAAAGTCCATAGATACCTGTTCCCATTCTTTGGTTGTGGTGGAAATAGTATGAGTGTTCCGAGTTTATCCTGGGTTAGGCTTTTGGCTTCTTGACACTTCGGGCATGTCTTGATGTATTCATGTAGTTCTTTGTTCATACTAGGCCAATACAAATGTCTCCTGACAAACTGTAATGTCTTTTTGAGTCCTCGATGTGCACCATGGAGAGATTCGTGATTATCGTGCAACATGATTTCTCTGATCCTGCATTTTTGAATACAAAGCTTGTTCTCAAAGTAAATGCTGGTTCTGTTCTTACTGAACGGGGCAACTGGGTTTCCCAACGCATTTTTGAAATCTGGGTCCTTTCTGTACTCGCGTTCATGGCCTTTGAGAATATTTTCATCCACCCTCACAAGTGTAAATGCCATCAACTGTTTCACAACAATGGCTTATGTCTGATGCACTTAAGTGCAGGAATTCCTGATACTGTCTCGATAATGCATCACCTACTGTATTCTGATATCCTTTGATTTAATCAATGTGGTAGTCGAACTCTTGCATGAATTGAACCCATCGGGTTTGTTTTCGGGATAAGGTTCGTTGTGAATCCAAGGATTTTAATGGATGATGGCCAGTCTGTATCTTGAACTTCGAGCCGTGTAGGTATGGTCTCCAAGTTTGTAAAGAGTACACAATAGAGAGAAGTTCTCTTTCATGTGTACTGTAACCTCGTTCTGCTTTATTCAGTTTCCGTGAAGTGTATGCTGCCGGACGACATCCGGTTTCGTCAGATTGCGTCAAGAAGCATCAAAACTTGTTTGAGATGCGTCAGAAGTTACTTCATACGGTAAACTGGGGTCTGCATATCGAAGTACGGGAGCCTCTATTAGTCTGCTCTTCAGTTCTTCAAATGCGCCTTTTTGTGAAGGGCCCCACTGAAAAGTTGTATCTTCTCTTGATATATTTTATAAAGGGGTTGCTATCGTTGCAAAGCCCTTTAAAAATCTCCAGTAGTAGTTACAAAGTCCAAGAAAGCTTTGATTTTGTTTTACATTGCGAGGAGCTTCCCATTTCTGTACAGCTTCAATTTTCTTTGGGTTCACTTGAATGCTATTTTCACTGATTATCTGGCCAAGGTACTCAAGATTATGATAAAGGAATTTACACTTTGAGTGCTTCTCGTATAGTTGATGCTCCTTCAATATTTGCAGTATTGCCCAAAGATGGTTCAGATGATTTTCGTTTTACTGTAGATAAGGATGTCGTCTAAGTAGACAAGGACAAACTTATCCAAGTGTTGTCCGAAGATATTGTTCATGAGGGTCTGGACGCATCCTGGGGCCCCCTTAATCCAAAGGGCGTTACTAGGAATTCGTATTGACCATATCCAGTCCGGAATGCTGTCTTTTGAGTATCAGCATCCCTTAACCTTATTTGATGATACCCAGATATTAGATAAATGGTGGAGAAGTTTTTCGATTCTCCTACCTGATCCCATACATCATCGATTCTCGGTAAGGGTACCTGGTTCTTAATAGTCTGTTTGTAGAGTGCTCCATAATCGATGCACATTCTTGGGCCACCATCTTCCTTTGTAGTGAACAAGAGAGGGCTACCCCAAGGACTTATATTTGGGCGTATGAATCCATTTCCAAGGGCTTCTTCTAGCTGCTTCTTCATTTCTTCCAGCCCTTTTCTTGAAAGTTTATGGATGGGACCCATTTTGGGTCTTGCATCCTTTTCTAAGTCTATTCCTATTTCAATGGATCTTTTCGGAGGTAATCTTGTAAGCAGATTTTGCGGGAATACGCCTTTGTGTTCTTCCAGGAGTCTGTCTAACTGTTTCATGTAATCGTCCTTTCCACTTGACTCTATTGTATTTTCTCCTTCTTCTTGAGAAGGTTTCAATAGGACATGATATATGGTGCTTTTCTGCTTTATTGCTAGCCTCACGAACTGTTTACTCGTAAGCATGTATGTCAGACGGGCTTCTGTAGCATAAACACCCCTAAACGGATAGGGGTGTATGCTTAGTCCTGGAAGACCCGTACGTACGAGAAGACGGGGGAAGTCGGACCAGCTAACGAAACCGGAGCACGGGCCCGGGTAGCGTAGTAGAGCGGGATCGGGGGGAGGACGCGCACACGCGCGGGCCGATCTACGCCTCGACGCCCCGGAGCAGCGCTGGGTTACGTTCCAGCGCTGACGGGCGGAGGTGGATCTAGGCTCGCTCGCGTGCTCGTGCGTCCTCTACCCGCGCTCGGTCTCGCCTTAAGGTAGCTAACAGAAGCTTCCTTAGGATAAGCTGGAAGTCAGACCTAGGCGGTAGGTCGTGGACAAGTCCGTGCTTGTCCCCCTTGGCCGCCGCCGGTCCGCTCCGTTATTTAATGTACAATTAGTCTATCGTAGCTTAGTACAGTACGTACTGTACTATGCAGCACTACTGTAGTCGGCACTGTCAGCCGACGGGGCTGACTGTATACGTGTCGTACACGTATAGTACACGTGGGGGCGCGTGCCCCCGTGCACGTGTGGTACCGGCTGTCTGTAAGGTTCGTGCCTTACACAGCCGGATCCAATTTCTAATCTAATTCTTTTGGTAGTTATACTACAGCTTCCCCATGCTTATGAGCCTCTGCATCCAGAGTTATTAACCTTTCCTTCTGTTTAAGGAGCATACGGTTCATTTTCCAATCGATTAAGGGGTTGGCTTCGGATAACCACGTCTTGCCTAGGATTATATCGCAAACAATCCAGTCTACCACGTATGGCCGTACGGTAATAGTAGCTTCCTCAATCCGTATGATAAGGTTCTCGCAACACCGTTCCATAGGAACAAATGTTCGGTCCCATAGTTCTGCCCCGCAGGTTAGTATTCTCATTTCTCATCTTCAATTTCTCTGCATATGCTTTGATATTGCTGTTTCCTCGCACCCACTGTCTACCAGAATAGTGCAACGGGAATTGTCGGCTGCATCTTGCACCTCCCCGCCGAATACTAGTAGAGCTTGCCTCTTTGTATTTCCTTTCTTCTAGTATGGTGAGGATGCACATACCTTGACGGACTTTTTACCGTTACTCTCTTTTGAATTCTGTTTCTTTTTGTATTTTATCATTTTTTGTGTTTTTGGAGTTTTGTCTTCGGCTATAGTACATTTATCGGCCAATGTGCCGACTTCATTTGACGAAACAACTAGTTTTTCATTTGGGAAAGCCCGTTAGGTCTAGGCCTCTGGTTGTTGCAGTGATTTCTGGCTATGCAGTTTGGTTTACCACAGACAAAGCATAACCTATGCTCAATTCTTCGCTATTTTTCTGCTGGGGACAGTTTCGTACTTCTGCGTGGTTGTATGTTCCCAATTTGCATTGGTGTAGGCGCAGAGGTGAAACTAGGCGTTGATCTTGCGAATCCGAAGTAGTTCTGACCACTATTGAAGAGACCACCAAGTCTATCGGCAATTTTTATAGCGAGTTGTAATGATTGTGGTTCAGCCCGGTCGACCCTGAATCTCGTACGGGTCTTAGGTCCCTGGCTGTAGTAGAATATTTGTCCCGCAGCCGGAGGCAACCTCATCGCGAGTCGCCGCGCTGACGCACCCGGTCGCCCGTCTTCACGAGGCATCGGCACCGAACTCCGTTACGAAGGAAGGAGACGCGGCGAGAAGACCCTGCTTCCCCCCTCTTTTTGGAAGGAGAAGGTTCCTCCGCATATCGCCGAGCGCCCCCGTAGGACGAGAGCTACACCGCCTTAGACGACAGGAGAAAACCAGATGTCGGAGGTGGAGCTCCCTGCGGTAGTTAGGGTCAATGCGATGCGGCGTGCCCAGCTACGGAGGCGCGCTGTCTTCCAAATAAAAACGAAGAACGCGGGCGGAACGGTCGACGAAACACTCCCGCCGCGCAGGGGACTCGGAACCCGTACAGACGAGGGTACCGGCGTGACCGTCAGCCACGCTTTCTCGCCGAAGGCCAGAAGGGGAATTGCGAACAAGATGATTACCCACTGCGGTCTCCAAGGTTAATGGTATCGCACGCACATGGATAACACGCACAGGACTACCCAAAGACCGACGGCGAGGATGTCGGGGATTGAGAAATGAAAGTTGGGACCAAAGGAAGTTGGCGTGGGGATAGGGACCCGCACGCAACGTCGGCAACGACGTCCAGGAGGGGCAGGGAGTTGACGACGATCGAACAGTGAGGGAGTCGCTTGCACGAAGGGAAGGGGATCCGGCGCACGCCGTGGGCCGACACACGGCAGAGGTCCCGAAAAAGTGACCAGGAGGTGGACCGACGAGTAGTGAAGGAGGTTCTGTACGGCGAAAAGGCGAGGACCCGGCGAAGGTTGCGGGGATTGACTCCCTGCGGGAGTCCGTGCACGGACAAATGGCCCCAGTGGCTCTACGGACGGAGGGAGGTAAACTATCGGAGTGGCACAATCACTGCTCTGGGCCGTCCAGTGAGGACGAGGGACCCGGGATGTGGAGGTTCGACGGACAATAACTGGGGTGTCGAGGCACCCCCACCCTTACGCCTGCCAGCGGAGGCATCGCAACCTCCTCGTCCTGCGACCAGCGAATGTCCGCGCAATCCGATGGCGCGGCCTCATACGGCCGAGGAGGTACGTACCCCCGGTCCTCGTAGGGGTCGCACATGGCGTGCTGCGGCATGGACGGAGCACCCACACGGAGGGACCGGAGCTCATCACGCTCTCGTCGGTAGCGATCCCGTTCAACATGACGCCGCTCGGGAGCGTTCGGTTGCTCAACCGATGCCTGACGTAAAGCCTCCACCTCGTCCTTCAACCGCCGTAATTCGGAGGCGTATGATTCGCGCTCGGTACCCAGACAGCGAGCCTCGTCGCTACGCAACAGGTACCACGACGCTAACTTACGGAGGAGGCCGCCGATTTGCCACGGACGATCCCACGACGTCGCCAGGGCCTATGATAAGCCAGTGATGGGCCTGAAATCGGCACGTGCCGACAAAATACGACGACTCGCCGGCTTATCCAGTGGATCTTCACCCGCCGGCGGGTTAAGGGGCGGAACCTGGACAACGAAAGGACCCGCCAAGGAGCCATAGCGGCCGTTGCAAACGGTAGGGGGTCGAAAGGTGTTCCTGCCCGTTCCCTCAACGGCGACGGCCTCACCATCCAGGTCCCGATGGCGCTACCTTTGCGACTCCCGCGCGAGGGACCCGACGCGCCACCGCGTACAGGGCTACTAGGGGCAAGGGCGCCTTCGGAAGGGAGCGCGCGACGAAGGCATCGGATTCCAGTTGGAAGGCGAGAAAGATACTACGTTCGCCGGTAGTGAAATCTGTCCACGGACGTCGGTGGCGCTCCGGCACCTCTTCGGCGCGGTGGATCAACTCCAACACCGCCGCACACACCCAACACACGTGCGTAGTTCTCCGCTCAAGGGGATGCATGGGCACCCGGGGATGGTCCGCCGCTACCCTTCCCAATAACCCCAGCCCCTCGGGCGGTTGCAAAAAACCGCGGCCTTGTACGGACACTTCGGTCATGAGGGCGTTGCCCAAGGACCAGGCCGACTCCCTTTCCAGATTGAGCATTACGGCCGTGTGCACGCCATGCCGCGGATCGGGGCAAGTGAGGCCAAAGTGCTTTAGAACGTAAGGGAGAAGAGGGGGCACCCCTAACGAAGGGAGTGCCTCCCTTACGACGGCGGGGAGCGGTGGGAAATCTCCCGGCGACAGTACTCTCTCGAAGGCAGACGCACGGAAGACTCGCCCGTCTTCCTCGTCCGAACGTCGATATACCGCCCAATCGTGATGAGCGATCGCGACGCCGTGCAGACGCATTAGGGAGCGGGCGAATTTTTGTAACGCAGCTCTCGCCTTACAATAGGCATACGATCTGGGGCTAACGTACAGCCCCGACACGGCGGCCAGAATGAACCGACGAGGGTCACGGCGACCGGGGCCAGACAGATAAGACGCCATCTGATCCACGTGGTCGACTTCGCTCACACTGTACGCGAAGGTCCGCTCACTGTGGATGGCGTCGGGGATTTGGTACGCCGCACCAACGCCGTCCACGGTGAGCCGCCCCAGCATCTAGGAGGCCTCCTCCGCCCCGCCTGCTTCGTATACTCGACGAACACGCAGCAGGTCGGGGCGGAGGCGATCATGGGATAAGAGCTCACTCATCGTCACTCCCGACGACGGGCAGCGGGGCAGGCCGCTCTAAAGGGGAACCAAACCACCTCGTGCCGGCATCGTCCCCCTCCACAGCCGAGGATGGACCTCGAGCAACGGCAGTATCGACGGCAGGAAAAGTAGGACGTGTCGAGGCGGGGACAAACTCGATTGACGGGGGCGAGTCCCCGGCGCTTCGGGATTTCTGGAACGGCGGTAAGGTGGCACGAGGGAGCGAAGGGGGCTCGATTGGACGGGAAATAAGTTCCCCACGGGGGGCAGCGTCTACAGTCAACAAGGGGATCGCCCCCGGGGCTACCGATGGGTTCTCGAGGGGCACTGACATCGAAGAACCGGGGTCGGAGTCACCCACTAAGAGGAAGGATCCCGACGAGTCCTAGGCGGGAAACAAGGGACGGGCGACGCGATGCGAAGGAACGGCGACGATGCGGAGAGAAGGAAGGACGTGTGGAAAAAAGGGGAATACGAGGCGACATGGGACGACGTCGGGGATAAGGAGACGGCGAAGGGGGAGAGGAGCAATGGACCGACGGCGGACCGGGCTTGAACCCAATGGAATCGGCAACGTACTTGCGACTTCGGACACGACCCGGAAAGCTACGGGAATCGACATGGCCACCTCTACAAGCCGTTGTGAACTCGGACGTTCACCCTAAATTGGGGGGCCATGTTGCATAATTGCCTACGACTACGGTATAAATTAGATTTGCAATTAGATCTACCGCTGTAAGGTACGGACCTTAAAGCGTCCGCGCGTGCATATCTTACATCGCACACGCCGGTACACGTGT